TATTGGAGATGAAGTGCAGAAACAAAGCAAAGGGCAAACCCAAACCAGATGTTCCTCACATCCTATTCCCTTTATCATATTAAACTGGTTTTTGCTACATTGCTAATAGATTATCAATGCATGCCTGTTATGTCAGGAGAGGGTTTTTGGGTGTTTGGTAGGCAGTTTAGGTTTTCTTTTCTGAGTAGCCTTTCTAAAATTCAAATCTGTTTATATCACTCAATTTAAAATCCTAATGGCTCCCTAGACCCTGTGAGTTAAAACCATAATTCCTGAGTATGACATTTCAAGGCCCTAAATGAACTGACCCATATCTCTCATCCAAACTCCTTTCCCAACATTCCCTACTTTAGGCTCTTTCCAAGACCATGTTTTATCATTTCTATATCCCCAGTGCTTAACATTGTAGCACAGAATAGTGCACAATGATTGCTAGATGAATAAATAGATAAGAGTTACAAACAATTATTAAACTATACCTCGATTGAGAAACAAAATTCTTTTTTTCAACAGTTGTTTCTTCATGTAAGTTTTGATTGCAGCTTGAATTGGCTTTACATAAAGTCTTACTTTGCTCACTCTCCCTATAACAAGTGTTAACTGGATTTGCACTCTTTAACAGAGTCTTCATTTGGTCATCACTTGCACATGCTTTAGACATGACTCCATGGGATTTGTAACTCTGAATCTGTATAGAATGGCTTTTACCCTTATCTTCTGCTTTGCTACCTCGGCCAATATTATCTGCATGGAGATGTTTCAATGTATTCTGAATATTTATGTTCACAGATGAAATATCATCCTTATATTTTTCTCTTCGTATTTCTTCCTATAATGAGAACATAACAATAATTTCAAAATAATCCATTTGCTTTGTAATCCAATTTACACTTTCTTTAAATAATGTAGAAAAAGTTTATGACTGTCAACAGAACATATATGATAAAAGAACTTCACATTAGGAGGAAAAAGAAAATTATTCAATAAGTGATATTGAGACAATTGGGGAGCCACCTGGAAAAAAATTAGTTGGATATCTCACAGTTTACACAAAGATAAAAATCAAAATGAATGAAATATTTAAATATAAAAATGAAATTATAGGCCGGGCGCAGTGGCTCACGCCTGTAATCCTAGCACTCTGGGAGGCCGAGGCGGGCGGATTGCACGAGGTCAGGAGTTAGAAACCAGCCAGAGGCCGGTGCGGTGGCTCACGCTTGTAATCCTAGCACTCTGGGAGGCCGAGGCGGGCGGATTGCTCGAGGTCAGGAGTTCAAAACCAGCCTGAGCGAGACCTGTCTCTACTATAAAAATAGAAAGAAATTAATTGGCCAACTAATATATATAGAAAAAATTAGTCGGACATGGTGGCGCATGCCTGTAGTCCCAGTTACTTGGGAGGCTAAGGCAGAAGGATCGCTTGAGCCCAGGAGTTTGAGGTTGCTGTGAGCTAGGCTGACGCCACGGCACTCACTCTAGCCTGGGCAACAAAGCGAGACTCTGTCTCAAAAAAAAAAAAACTGAAAAAATGAAATTTTATATGTTTTAAAATAAAACAACCACGACATTTTAATATTCTTAAGGGGCAGAAGACCTTTCCAAGTATTAAACAAAATCAATAAATTATAACAGAAAAAAACTAATAACCACATAAAAAGTTTTTAAAAGTTCTGCTAGAGACTAAGAACAATGTTCAGGGTGTGTGGGGGGAATGAGGAATCTCTGAGGAAAAAAGAGCAAGAAGCAAAACCAAATGATGATGAAAACACTCAGAAATAACATGTATAAATCATATCTTAAGCTATAAGATAATTTTTTAAATAACATTTATAAAAAGCTACAATGAAATATGAAAAAGAACAACAATAGCATAGAAAAGGGGGCAAAGGAAATGGACAGTTCACAGGAAAGAAAATGTAAATTGCTCTTAAACATAAGAAAAATCATTCCATCCCTTGTAATAAGAGAAATGAATATTAAAGCTACACTGAGATATCTTTCTTCATCCATCACATTGGCAAAGATCAAAAGACTAAGGGGATATAGACACTCTCAAACATTACTGGTAGAAGTGTAAATTAGTACAACCTTCACAGAGAAACAATTTGACGTAACTTTCATAATAAAAATTATGCATATCTGTAAAAAAAAAAAAAAAAGCCTATAAGGCTAGCATGGTAGCTCACACCTGTAGTCCTAGTACTGTGGGAGGCCAAGGCAGGAGGATCACTTGAGCCCAGGAATTCAAGACCAGCTAGGAAACATAATGAGACTCCATCTCTACAAAAATTTTTTAAAAATTAGTTGGGTGCAGTGTCGCATGCCTGTAGTCCCAGCTGCTCAGGAGGCTGAGGCAGGAGGATCATTTGAGCCCAAAAAGTTCGAGCCTACAGTGAACTATGATCTGGCAACTGTACTCCAGCCTGGGTGACAGAACGAGACTCTGTCTCCAAAAAAATCCTATAAATTACTTTTACATGTGATTAATTGCAACATTATTTGTAACAAATGAAAGTTGGAAATAACTTGAAGGTTTATCAGAAAAGAAGCTAGCATATATACCCATCCAATGGCACACTCTACAACTATGAAAAAAAAAATAAGAGTACTTCCACGTACTATCTCAGATGATGAATTAAACACCCATATTGACGTTTGGTCCTTCCAAGAAAACCATTAAAACAACAATTTTTAAAAAGGCTTATATAAATCCACAATAATAATGAGAAACAGAACAAGAAATAAAAGCAACAAAAATTTCAAAACTAGGCTGGGTACATTGGCTCATGCCCATAATCTTAGCACTTTGGGAAGCTGAGGCAGGAGGATTGCTTGAGGCCAGTAGTTCAAGACCATCCTCAGCAAGAGGGAGACCCCATTGCTAAAAAAAAAAAAAAAATTTGAGAAACTAGCCGGATGTGGTGGCACATACCTGTAGTCCCAGCTGCTCCGGAGGCTGAGGCAGGAGGATCACTTGAGCCCAGGAATTTGAGGTTGCAGTGAGCTATGATGACACCACTGCACTCTAGACCAAGTGATAAATTTGAAAAAAAATTTTTTCAAAACTAGAAAGGAGATGGGTGAATGATAACCTATTCAGCAGACTTGGTAAAGCTGAAATCCAAAGCTGACAGTAAGAAAATCCAAGAAATTACCTAAGATATGCCTCCCAAACCTTCAAAAGGCTTAGGAAATGGAGTTACCAAGAAACTCTAGAGGATAGGGTGAAGGCAGAGTTAAAACCAGGAAAATTGGATGGAAGTGTAAGAAGCAGTTAGATTACTAGATCCCAACCCCCACATGTACATACTCAGTAGGCAGTTAACTGACACCAGAAGATTGTTCCTCCCTACCCCCACCTCTCCCAAGGTTGGAAGTTTAGTCTCTAACAGGGATAAAACAGAGAATCTCTGCACCAAGCAAAGTTGAAGGCAGGGATACTACACAAGAAACAAAAACTAAGTAAATATTTACAAACTAAATATTAAGACCCACAAACTCTCTTCTCCCATTTTGATCCCAGAATACTAGCAGACAACCTCCAAACAGGAAATTGGACTTTAGAGATCCTCAAAACAAAACAAAAAAAAGACTCATCTAATTAATCCTACAAGAATCCACAATCAAGATATTTCTAAATAAACTTTTAGTGTCTCACTCTTAAATATGGGCAGCAACCAAGGGTTAACAGAAATCTGAAGAAAGCTAGAGACCAGGGTGGAAAAAAAAAAAAAAAACACGCAGAGGAGAAAGACTTGGTAAGATGGAAAAAACATTTTTAAAATGAAAACTATCATTGACATGTTCAAAAGAAGAATGCCAATGAAGTCCTAAGTTCCTGAAACAAAAAGAAAAGACTTCAAATGAGATTTTAAAAAAGCAGCTTTGCCTATTAAAAATATGACAGCAGGCCGGGCGCTGTGGCTCACGCCTGTAATCCTAGCTCTTGGGAGGCCGAGGCAGGCGGATTGCTCAAGGTCAGGAGTTCAAAACCAGCCTGAGCAAGAGCGAGACCCCGTCTCTACTATAAATAGAAAGAAATCAATTGGCCAACTGATATATATATAAAAAATTAGCCGGGCATGGTGGCACATGCCTGTAGTCCCAGCTACCAGGGAGGCTGAGGCAGAAGGATCGCTCGAGCCCAGGAGTTTGAGGTTGCTGTGAGCTAGGCTGACGCCACGGCACTCACTCTAGCCTGGGCAACAAAGCGAGACTCTGTCTCAAAAAAAAAAAAAAAAAAAAAAAATATGACAGCAGAAGTGAAAAACTCAATAGATTAGTTTAAAAATAATTATGAAAACTTCTCCCAAATGTAGAACAAAAAGAAAAAGCAAGGGAAGATAAAAGAAATGATAAGGAGGACCACCTCAGCAAATCCAATAAATATTATAAATAATAAGAGTTTCAGGAAAAGAGTACATAAAAAATATATACACAAACACACATATATGTGTAACAGGTGTCTACTCTAGAGTTGTTTGTACTGGTGAGAAATTATAACCAGTACTAGTGAGAAAATATAACCTAAATATACATCAATAAAGGAATGGTTAAGTCAAATATGGCACATCTATGATACTGAATACTACTCAGTCATTTAATAGGAATAAAATCACTATGTTGTACTAACTGGACAAGTTTTAGTTCAAAATAAAAATATATGCACAAAGACACAAAGCATGTCTACATAGAAAAAATATGGAAAAAATACATAGAGGGAGAAAGAGGGAGATTATTAGATTATTACTTCATCTTTTCTCTTTCCTGGACTCCTATTATTCAGATGTTAGATCTCTTGGCTCTGTTTTTCAATGTTTCTTTTCAGTCATCATTTGTACTTTTAAAAAATCTTTTTTTGTTCTATGTCCAAGCATGATTCCTCAAGTATTACTATGGAATTTTACATTTAAAACCACTAAATTTCTTTTAAATAACTTGAAAAGAAAAAAAATTTACCCTCCAACCTCTACTGTTAAAATATTTGAAAAGTCTATATTCTATGAAACAAAGAAACCAACCTCATTTCCTTCCCTTTCAAGCTGTTCTATTCTGTATAGAATTTCTTTTGCTTTCTTCCAGTGCTCTTCAAGATTCTTTTCTTTCACATTTATATCCTTTAATTGTTCTGTTTCATTTTCATCAAAAGAATATTCTCCTAGACTTAGAGATAATTTCTCAGCTTTGTAACATGGGGAAAAAATGGTATTTATCAATTACTAGAAATGTTATTTTACCACTTTAAATAAAGACAACCTCATACCCTATCACACCCTTTCTTTAAATTTTTTCCATCTAGACAATCTTAACAGCTTATCTGGTATGAAAATAAGTGGAAAGACTGCTTGGCAGAGGCCCAGGACTCACACTGTCATAAATTAGGCTTTCCTCTTCAGAATTACAGGAAAAAGAATACCATGAAAATATGTTATGCCAGGCACATAAACATCCTAAGGTACATGGATACTGGTTTTAAAGTAGTTGTTTTTTTAAAACAATGTTCATAAAGTGACTCCTTCTTAAAACTTTTAAATCCTTTTTTTTTTAACATATTGTGTTTATAATTTTTCTTCCATAAAGACCAAAATCCTTATCATGGCCACTGCCCTCTGTACCCCAGCCACACCAGCCAGTGATTCCTTAAATGCACCTGGCTCCCTCCTACTACAAGGCCTTTGTACCTCACTGTTGCTCATCCATGAGACACTTGCCCATAACAAATTCCTTTCTTTTTCCCTAGTTAACTCTCAACATTCAGATCTCAGCTCAAGAATCACTTCTTTCCAAAGCCTTTTCTGATTCTAATCTAAGCCATATTCCTTTGTTTTAGGTTCTCAAAGATCTGTGGTCCACCCCTTCATAACCCCAATGTCAATTTGTAATAATACATAATCTCATTTTTGAGATTATTTAATTACTGTCTATTTCTCTAATTAAAGTAAGCTGTATAAGTACACAGACTATTTTATCTTATCACTGTATCCCCAGTACCTAGGCAAGGTGCCTGGCACGTAACAGAAGCCCAAACATTTTTAAATAAATAAATGAATATACTTTATATTATGATTTAACAATAAACCTTAGTCGTCACATTTAAGTCCTACAAACTAAATTTGTCCATGTGACATAAAATAAGTGAATTATCTGTACTGCAGCTGTCTTCCATATAAGGTTTATATATGCTGAACATACCCTAGTTGTCATGTCCAAATTATACACTCTGCTTTTCAAATGTAAGAACCACCTGACAGCTAAAAGGGCTTGGCACGTTAAAACAGATATAAATTCCCTTTATAAACTTCGGTTGGTATTTTCTTAAAGTAACAGTATACTTACTAATCTTTTTGCAGTTGTGAAGCACAAATGTGGCAGCTTTGTTTAGGTCCTCATTCTGAGATTCAGTTAAGGCTTGTATCATGAGTGGAAGCCCATTGTTTTTAAAAAGGTCATACTGATTTTCCTCTGGAAAACATAGCAAAAATTAAAGATGACAGTGATTTTATCATAAACTCTCTGTACAAGGTCATAATTCTTCCTTGTGATAATTATGAACATAGTTCAAATTTTTATTCATTAATTTATTTTTTGAGACAGAGTCTTGCTCTGTCACCCAGGCTAGAGTGCTGTGGCGTTAGCCTAGCTCACAACCTCAAACTCCTGGGCTCAAGTGATCCTCTTGCCTCAGCCTACCGATAGCTGGGACTACAGGTGTGTGCCACCATACCTGGCTAATTTTTCTATTTTTAGTAGAGATGGGGTCTCACTCTTGCTCAGGTTGGTCTCGAACTCCTGACCTCAAACAATCCTCCTGCCTCGGCTCCCAGTGTGCTAGAATTACAGGCATAAGCCACCGTGCCCAGCCTCAAATTTTTAAAAATAGAGAAAAAGGGCTGGGCACAGTGGCTCATGCCTGGCCTCCCAAAGCACTGGGATTCCAAGGCGGGAATTCCTTGAGGCTAAGAGTTTGAGATCAGCAATATAGCAAGACCCCATCACTAAAAAAATTTAAAAATTAGCCAGGCATGGTGGCACATGCCTGTATCCCCAGCTACTCAAGAGGCTGAAGTGGAGGATCACTTGAGCCCAGGAATTCAAGGTTACAATGAGCTATGATTACACTACTGTACTCCAGCCTTGGCAACAGAGTAAGACCTGGTCTCCAAAAAGGTAAGTAAATAAATAAAAATAGAGAAAAACAAAAATTCAAAAGTATTTTTAAGGCCAGGAGAAGTGGCTCACGCCTATAATCTTAGCACTTTGGGAAGTGAAGGCAGGAAGATGGCTTGAGGCCAGGAGTTTGAGACCAACTTGGACAACAAATGAGACCTGTCTCCATAAAAAAAAAAAATTTATTGTTATTTTTTAAATTTTTTTAGAATTTTAATACCATCAACCTTTCGGTTAATCCATAAAAAAATTTTAAAATCAGCTGGGTATGGAGGCTGAGGCAGGAGGATTGCTTGAGACCAGGGGTTCAAGATTATAATGAGCTATGATTGTACCACTGTACTCTAGCCTGGACAACAGAGTGAGACCCTGTCTCAAAAAAAAGAAAAGTCTTTTCAGTATAGCAAATAATCCACTTATACAAAATACCTGAATCTCATAAGTGATGGTCTGTGAAATACAGCCACAGAGTAGTATATCTCATAAAAGTAAACACACTACGCTCATTTGACTTAAAAAAAAAAAAAAAGGTATAGTCAATCCTAAATTACACAGAGGTTAAGAGTAAGAATAGAGAAATAAACTGATGGAGAGAGTAGAAAATGAGGAAAGGAAGAGAGATGGAAGATGCAAAAGAGAGCAAAGGGAAGAGAGTAGAAAAGTGGTGAGGGGGAGAGAGAGAAGGAAGGAGATTGGAGGGGGGGTAAATGGAGAGGCTGGACAAAAGGAATAGATTGGACAGAGGGAGACTGGGGAGAAAAGTAGAGAGAAGGAGAAAGATGGAAGGGGAGAGAAAGAGAATAGAGAAAGAGTAATAGGTTCTCTCTGGTAGAGAAAGAAAGAACCTTTGAAGGTTTTCAGCAACAGAGAACAAAACCAGATTTGTGCAGCAATGTGAAGAGTGGACTGAAAAATGGAGATAGAAGGAAAAGAGCATAGGGAGGAAGCTATTGCAGTAATATTGGTGAAAGATATTGAGGGTCTAAATTGGGAGGGCAGCACTGGAACTGGGAAGAAAGGGACAAGGAGGGGTAAACAGAAGTAGAACCACAGGTCATAGTAACTGACTGAATACAATGTGTGAAGGAAGATGAAGGACTAAAATGACTGGTTTGGGGTCTGAATGACTGGGAGAAAGATAATACTTTTAAGGCTTTCATATGACCTCAGAGGAGGAAACAGTGTATTTCTACTCTACTGTTAATAAGCACACTAAATAAATCTAATACTTACCACAATCCTCTGTGCAATGACCAATAGTAAGTATGATGCTGAATTTTTCTCCTGAATCCAGACTTTCATGAAGCAGTAATGCCAGAAGTTTTGAAACAATGTGGTACTTGGATAGTACTATCCCAAAAGTAGCTATTAGTATAAAATAAAATAAAAAATACTAAGTACAAATTTACAACTTATAAATATACACATGCTATATATTTTTCAGAGCTTATCCAGGGAAAAAGATATTATATGTCTATACAACATCTAATATATACATCATAACATCTAATATACATGTATATATTAATATTATATGTATGAATATAAATAAATTCATTGTAATAAGATGGTGGCTTATGATAACAGCCCTTCTTACTCCCTCTTCCCATACTAAAAATATATTACTAAAACAAATTTTTTGAAGAATGGTTTCTTCTTAATTGTTCTGCATAATGTTGTGAATATGAATACTATCTTCCTGAAAGCTGAATATGCTTACTCTCACCTTACATACCTCTTCTTATCTAGATTGGACAGTAAAGACTTTCCTATGTAATCAATTCCTGCCTGAAATTGAAATATACTATTAACTGACCATGGTTCTACTGATGTTAATGATGCAATGAAGCATATCTGAAGCTATACTGAGATGTGACAAAAGTCAAGAAGTCCACCATTTTAAGCTATATTTCTCTCATGGGGATTTTAACAGAGTTCACCCAGAGTCTAACAATACCAATATCAACAATAAAGTTTTGAACCCTTTAATGGACTAATCATTTTTGTATCTAAAGCTCAGCACAAAGCAGGCCCTCAATAACTGCTTTTTAAAAAATCATCCCCATTTTTTCTCCCCAGTTATTTGTGAATACCAATAGAAGTTCTTATTACAAAGATTTATAGATTATCATTCCTCAGTATTTGTACATATGAGAAGCAGCCATGGGTTTAAGTCTGGTTCTGCCACTCACTAGTAATGGTGCTTTGGGTAAGTCAGACTTCATTACTTATCAGAAACAGGCAGACCTTAATTCTTTTTTTTTTTGAGACAGAGTGTCACTTTGTTGCCCAGGCTAGAGTGCCATGGCTTCAGCCTAGCTCACAGCAACCTCAAACTCCTGGGCTCAAGCGATCCTTCTGCCTCAGCCTCCCAAGTAGCTGGGACTATAGGCATGTGCCACCATGCCCGGCTAATTTTTTCTATATATTTTTAGTTGGCCAATTAATTTCTTTCTATTTTTAGTAGAGATGGGGTCTCACTCTTGCTCAGGCTGGTTTCAAACTCCTGACCTTGAGCGATCCTCCCGCCTTGGCCTCCCAGAGAGCTAAGATTACAGGCATGAGCCACCACGCCTAGACTAAGAACTTTTAATGCTGCTTTTTCTTTCTGTTCTTTCTTTCTGTATTTATTTATTTTTTTTAAGAGACAGGGCTTTGTTCTGTTACCCAAACTGGAGTACTGTGGCATGATCATAGCTCACTGCAAGCTCCAACTCCCAGCCTCAAGCAATCCTCCTGGCTCAGCCTCCCAAGTAGCTAGGACTGCAGGCACATGCCATAATGCTGCTTTCTAAGTGAAAAAAAGGTTTAGGAATGATAGAATCTTATTTTCATTCTATCATTAGACTTGAAGCCAGAAGATCTAGATTTGAATCCTTAGGGAAGTCATAATCTCCATGGGAAAATAAGATGCTGGATGAGATAATTTCTAAGATTCCCTTCCACTTGTGAGAAACTGTTAGTCTAATCCATGTTAGTGTTCAGTCTACCATTTCCACACTCACTATGCTAAATTCAATTGTAGGAAAAAATTCCTACAAAATTCAATTGTAGGAAAACTACTAAGCATTTTCACTCACGATTATCAGCAATACACGCATCCACTGTCTTTGTCACCACCACTGCAAGCTTAGCACTGGAAAGAGTCTCGTGTGAATCAGATTCCAGCTGCACAAGAACTTGAGACAATACATCGAGTCCACCCACAGATATAAAGTATTTCTGAACATATGCTTAAGGAATAAAGTAGAGCTATTAATATCTCAAACAAGACAGGTATATGGCTTCATTCAATTAATTTGCACTAAATATAACATTACCTTGACCTTTTTTTCAAATACATACTAAAAATCCCAAAATTAAAGAATTAAAAATCTAACATTTACCTGTACATCTAAATAATCATAGATTATTTATTTATGTAAATGCCTCAACTTTGACATAGTGCAACTACACATATAGTACAGTATTTCTTGTGTGCTAGAAATCTGTTTCATTTAGTAACAACTGGTACATTTTGTTAAGAATGACATTATTACACTACCCTTCAACATTATTAAATGAGTTTTTCACTAGAGCTATAAAGAATAGATTCATTCATTTGGCTTGGTAATTAGCAAGCTGCCTACTTTCTGAATTCCAACATAACTTATTCCTCAGATTGCCTCATTCTCCAAAGGGGAAAGTAATTTAACTATTCCAAAAGAACACATATCTCATCCATCTTATTTATACCTAATTCTTTTAATTCTTGGAACATGAAATTATAACATATTTTTGAGAGTCATAACTATTGCAAGCAGAGATTCAATGACAGATACACACACACACACACACACACATATATATATATATATATTTTTTTTTAAACCTGAAGTTTTGTTCCCCTGTTGAAAAGTGATTCTGATGGGAAAGTGTCCCACATGCCTATGAATTCAATAGTCTCCACAGCCTCAAACACAGTAATGGGTTTATGACAAATAGATATATGGATTAGTAGTGATTATGATTCTACCACAAACCTTCTTCCCTTAAGTACTTATTCTTCATAAGTACTTAAATTTTTAAAATTTAGATGTTACCTTGATTCCATAAATTAAAGCCAAGATGATTTAAGGACAAAAATTATTTTTTGTATTGTTCAATAAAACAGATAAAAATATCATATTCAGAATTTTTTACATCTGGGAAAGGAACTATAAGGAAACATTATTTAAGGGCAAGTAAACATTTTTAATATTATGGAGACTTGAAAACAAGTTTCTTTTCTAGAAAGTATTTTCATTAAAAAAAAATCTTCGGCCAGCAGCAGTGGCTCACACCTGTAATCCTAGCACTCTGGGAGGCCGAGGCAGCAGATTGCTCGAGGTCAGGAGTTCGAAACCAGCCTGGGCAAGAGGGAGACCCCGTCTCTACTATAAATAGAAAGAAATTAACTGGCCAACTAAAATATATAGAGAAAAAATTAGCCAGGCGTGGTGGCGCATGCCTGTAGTCCCAGCTACTCAGGAGGCTGAGGCAGCAGGAATGCTTAAGCCCAGGAGTTGGAGGTTGCTGTGAGCTAGGCTGACGCCACAGCACTCACTCTAGCCTGGGCAACAAAGTGAGACCCTGTTTCCAAAAAAAAAAAAAAAAAAAATCTTCAGAGGCCAGGCATGGTGGTTCATGTCTGTAATCCCAGCACTCTGGGAGGCCAAGGCAGGAAGATCGCTTGAGGCCAGGAGCTAGAGACCAGAATAAACAACATACTGAAACCACCTCTACAAAAAATTTTTGAAATAGCCAGAGTGATGGCGCATGCCTGTAGTCCTACCTATGTGGGAGGCTGAGCCAAGAGGATCCTTGAGCCCAGGAGTTTGATGTTATAGTAAGCTGTGATCATACCACTGCACTCCAGCCTTGGTGACAGAGAGACCCTGTCTCTAAACAAACAAAAAAATCTTCAAAGCCAGGCACAGTGGTGCATGCCTATAGTCCCAGCTACACAGGAGGCCAAGGCAAGAGGATGGCTTGAGCCCAGAAGTTCAAGATGAACCTGAGCAACATAGCAAGACCCCATCTCTAAAAGGAAAAAAATTAAAAAAATAAAAATCTTCTAAAAAAGGAAGTATATTTAAATGCTGAGGTGAAAATGGCATCGTGTTACCCATATAGATCCTTAGTTATAGCCTAAGTGACAAAAATTCAGGCATAAAAGAACATCCTACACCACACTCATTGTACACTGAATGGTTCAGATTTCCTCTAATCTATATTTCATACCAGTTTGCTGAGAGTAATGAGATTCTATAACTATCACTCATTCAAGTTGGCTTTTTTATTTTTTTATTTATTTTTTTATTTATTTTTTGAGACAAGAGTCTCACTCTGTTGCCCCGGCTAAAGTGCCATGGTGTCAGCCTAGCTCACAGCAACCTCAAACTCTTGGGCTCAAGCAATCCTACTGCCTCAGCCTCCCGAGTAGCTGGGACTACAGGCATTCGCCACCATGCCCGGCTAATTTTTTGTATATATATTAGTTGGCCAATTAATTTCTTTCTATTTTATAGTAGAGACGGGGTCTCGCTCTTGCTCAGGCTGGTTTCGAACTCCTGACCTCGAGCAATCCGCCCGCCTCGGCCTCCCAGAGTGCTAGGATTACAGGTGTGAGCCACCACGCCTGGCCTTTTTTCTATATATTTTTAGTTGTCCAATTAATTTCTTTCTATTTTTAGTAGAGATGAGGTCTCGTTCTTGCTCAGGCTGGTTTCAAACTCCTGACCTTGAGTGATCCTGCCACCTTGGCCTAGGCCTCCCAGAGTGCTAAGTTGGCTTTTAGAGGAAAAGGAACTATCAAAGTATTATGGAAACAGATTCCAATTTTTGGAATTCTAGAGATCTATCACTTTGCATGTAAAACATGAGTATTTGTTCCAAACACGTAAATATAATTTTTTTTTTTTTTTTGGAGAGACAGAGTCTCACTATATTGCTCAGGCTGGTCTTGAATTCCTGGCCTCAAACAATCCTCCCACTTCAGCCTCCAAAAGTGCTGGGATTATAGGTGTGAGCCACTGCACCTGGCCCAAACACCTGAATATAGATATATATCAGCAAAGTGCAAAAGTTCTATTAATAGTTGTTCCACATCCTCATCAATATTTAACATAACCACATTTTATTTTTAGCCATGCTAGTGGGTATGTAGTAGTATCTCCATGGGGTTTTAGTTTGAATTTCTCTGATGACTGATGATCTTGAGGATCCTTTCAAGTGCTTATTTAATATTCATATCTTCTTTGGTGAAGTATCAATTCAAATCTTTTGCCCATTTTTTAATCATTAGGTTGTTTTTCTTATTATTGATTTGTAAGAGTTCCTTATGTATTCTAGGTACAAGTTCTTTATCAGATATATGTTTCACAAATATTTTTTTCCAGTCTGTGGCTTGTCTTTCATCTTCTTAGCAAGCTCTTTTATTTTTTTTTTATTTTTTTTTTGAGACAGAGTCTCGCTTTGTTGCCCAGGCTAGAGTGAGTGCCATGGCGTCAGCCTAGCTCATAGCAACCTCAAACTCCTGGCTCAAGCAATCCTCCTGCCTCAGCCTCCCGAGTAGCTGGGACTACAGGCATTCGCCACCATGCCCGGCTAATTTTTTGTATATATATTAGTTGGCCAATTAATTTCTTTCTATTTTATAGTAGAGACGGGGTCTCGCTCTTGCTCAGGCTGGTTTCGAACTCCTGACCTCGAGCAATCCGCCCGCCTCGGCCTCCCAGAGAGCTAGGATTACAGGCGTGAGCCACCGCGCCCGGCCAGCAAGCTCTTTTAAAGAGCAAAAGATTTTAATTTCAGTGATGTCTAAATTATCTTTTTTTTAGTGATTCATGCTTTTTGTATCCTAAGAAATCTTTTATCCCTAAGTTGTGACGATTTTCTCCTCTGCTTTTGTCTAGACATTTTATATTTTTCACTCTTGTATTTAGGTTTATGGACCATTTCAAGTTAATTTTTGTGAGATAAGGGTTGAGATTGATATTCTGCAGGTAGATATCTACTTTTTCCCTGCACCATTTGTTGAAATGACTATCTTTTCCTCCACAAATTACCACAGGACCATTGTAGAAAATCAACCATCATCTATGTATGGGTCTATTTCTGGGCCATTTTGTTTCATTGGTCTATAACTACACCAATGCCACACTTTCTTGATAACTATATAGTAAATACTAAAATAAGGCAAGATAAGTCCTATAATTTTGTCCTTTTTCTTCAAAACAGTTTTTATTATATTAGGCCCTTTTCATTTCCATGTAACTTTTAAAATCAGCTTGTCACAATTTCTATAGAAAAGCCTGATGGGATTTTGACTGGGATTCTCATTAATCTAGAGATGAATTTAGAAATCATATTCTTACAATATTGAGTCTTACAATCCATGAGTGTTATATATCTCCCCATCAATTTCTTTATTTCAGCAATGCTTTATAGTTTTCAGCAGATAGGCATTGCATATATTTCATTAAATTTATTCCTAAATATTTAGCTTAGTTGTTTTTTGGTTGTTTTTTTTTTTTGAGACAGAGTCTCACTTTGTTGCCCAGGCTAGAGTGAGTGCCGTGGCATCAGCCTAGCTCGCAGCAACCTCAATCTCCTGGGCCTCAAGAGATCCTACTGCCTCAGCCTCCCGAGTAACTGGGACTACAGGCATGTGCCACCATGCCTGGCTAATTTTTTTTTGTATATATATTTTTAGTTGGTCAATTAATTTCTTTCTATTTTTAGTAGAGACGGGGTCTCGCTCAGGCTGGTTTAGAACTCCTGACCTCGTGCAATCGGCCCGCCTCGGCCTCCCAGAGTGCTAGGATTACAGGCGTGAGCCACCACGCCCAGCCTAGTTTTTTGATATTATTGTAAATGATAGTTTAAGTTCCCAATTGTTGCTAGTGTATAGAAATATACTTGATTTTTATATATGACCTTCCTAAAATTACTACTAGTTCTAGTAGCTTCTTTGTAGATTCTTGGCATTTTTTTACATAGACAATCATGATATCTATGAATATTTTTTTATTTACAATTTCTATATCTTATATTTCATTTTATTGCCTTATTGTATTGGCTAGGACACCCAGTAAAATGTTAAACAAAAGTGGTGAGAGCTGCTGTCCTTGTCTTTTTTCCAGGCTCAGGAGGAAAGCATTAAATGTCTTTCACCTTAAGTATGTTAGCTACAGTATTTTATAAAGGCCCTTTATCACATTAAGAAAGTTCCCCTCTATTCCTAGTTTACCAAGAGTTTTTGTCATAAATTTATGTTGAATTATATCAAATGCTTTTCTTGCACCTATTGAGATTATCATATCATTCTTTTCTAGTCTGCAAATATGGTGAATTTTCTAACGTTAAACGCAGTCCTAGGATATGTGCCACCTGGTGGTAATGTATTGTCCTTATTAAATATTGCTAGATTTGATTTGTTAGTATATCATTAAGGATTTTTGTATTTATATTCATAAGGGATATTAGCCTACGGTTTTCTTTTTTGTCCTAAAATCGTTTGGTAGAATTCACTAGTGAATCCACCAAGGCCTGGAATTTCTTCTGTGTTAAGGTTTTGGTTTTTCAGGTTTTTTGTTTTTTCCTTAGAAAGATGGGGTCTTGCAATGTTGCCCAGGTTGGAGTGCAATGGCTATTCTCAGGCATTATCATAGCACACTACAGCCTTCAACTGCTGAGCTTAAATGATCCTCCCACCTCAGCCTTCCAAGTAGCTGGGGCAATAGGTATGTACCACCAGCCCAGCTTAAGTATTTTTTTAGAGACAGACACAGGGTCTCCTCTGTCACCCAGGCTAGAGTACAATGGCCCATTCATAAATCACTATATATGACAACTCCTGGGCTCAAACAATCCTTCCACCTCAGCCTCCTAAGTAGCTAGGACTACAGGTGTGCACCACCATGCCAGCTAATTTTTAAATCTTTTGTAGGTAGGGTCTCACTATATTGCCCAGACTGGTCTCAAACTCCTGGCCTTAACCCATCCTCCTGCCTTGGCCTCACAAAGCACTGGGATTCTAGGTATGAACCACTGTACCTGGCCTAGGATTTAAACTATAAATTCAATTTCTTTAACACATGTGGGAATATTCAGGTTACCTATTTCCTCTCGAGTAAACTTTAGTAGTTTGTATCGTTCAAAGAATCTGTCCAATTCATCTAAATTGTTAAATTTCATTGCATAAAGTTGTTTCTACTATTTATCATACTTTTAATATCTGTTAATGTCTGTAGTGATGTCACCTCTCATTCCTAACATTGGTAATTTGAGCCTTCTCTCAGTTTGTGATCAGTCTAGCTAGAGGATCAATTTTCAAAGAACTTGCTGTGGTTTCCGTAATTTTTCTCTATTCTGTTCCAGTTTCTATTTCATTGATTTTTTTTTTTTTTTTTTTTTTTAATTTTTCCTTTTCACCATTTCTTTACCTTCTCATATTTCATTGATTTCTGATCTCTTTAAATATGAATCGAATTAATATTCTTTAATATTTTCTTTGTTATGCTTGCTCTAACTTGGTTGGTTTTCTAGTTTCTTAGGTAGAAGCTTACACGTAACTGATTTGAGACCTTCTTTTTTTATATAAACTTTAACACTACAAATTTTCCTCTAAACACTACTTTTGCAGCATTCCACTTTTTTTTTTTAAGATGGAGTCTCGCTCTGTCACCTGGGCTAGAGTGCCATGGCGTCAGCCTAACTCACAGCAACCTCACCTCCTGGGCTGAAGCAATCCTCCTGCCTCAGCTTCCTGAGTAGCTGGAACTACAGGCGCATGCCACCATGCCCAGCTAATTTTTCTATTTTTAGTAGAGACAGGGTCTCACTCTTGCTCAGGCTGGTCTTGAATTCCTGAGCTCAAGCAATCTTCCAGCCTTGGCCTCCCAGAGTGCTAGGATTACAGACATGAGCCACCGTGCCCGGCCCCCACAGTGTTTTTAATGTTGCATTTTCATTATCATTCAGTAAAAAACATTTTATAATTTATGATTTATGCTTTGTCTCATGGATTTAATTGCCAGATAACTGGCTTTTCTAGATATTTTATTTTTATTCATTTTTAACTTAATTCCATTGTGGACAGAGAACACACTGTGGGTTTTTAGTTTCGCTATCTAGTTGCTATCTGTTTTATGAAAGTATCTGGGGAGATTTAAAAACTATGCTGCCGTACCATCTCTCCAATATACTCCTAGCAATATCTACTTTTAAGATTTTTCTTATCTTCAAGAGTTTAAATGCACTGAAAATGACCTGAATTACTAACATTAATTTAATTCAATAATGAATTCAATAATTTATTATGCTTTGAAATATATTTCTCCATGTATGATTTAGAGAATAACAAATACTTACTGTTATTTGCAAGAGTGAGTCCAATAAATGAGCAAATTGGGCGAATTATCTCAGGTTTCATGCAATTTATTAGCCACTCATTAGCATGTGGAAAAAGTGAACAGCAAAACAATTGATTTTCATCTGAAAGGGGACAAAGTCAATCATGTTTTAATATGACATCTATAAACTATCAGTTTTCATTTCTGTTTTTATCTTTATTTTATAACTAAATATTAGAGATAATTACCATTTTGAGGATTGTTGACACAAACACACAGGGTACTACACACCGAAGACCACAACTGATAATTCTGGAAAACATTTTCATCTAATAAATTCAACTCGTATTTTGAAAGAACTGTCCTATTAGGTTAAAAAGAAAAGGAAGTAATATAAATGTGTTAAGGTCTTATGTAATGAATAATTAACAAGAAATTTATATTTGTTTACCTGAACAACCGTGACAGAACTGTAATACAACCTGTTTCTCTCACAAGTGTTTGTCCAGTCCCTTTAAAAAATAGCCATATATTACATAAATATGATTTTTATTTAAAAATAATTTCACAGAAATGAAAATGACATTTAAGGAGTATTTTAATAATTAACTTTTAAACCACTTTAAAATATTATAAAGTGTAAAACAGAAATACAGTAGATAAAAATCTATAATTAAGATTATTATAAAAATACATACTTAAACACTGACAGCATTCAAATTTCCTCTAAAACTTATGAAACACTTATTTTGCTTCATGGTTCTGTTTTACAATACCAAAATATGTTCCAAAAGAGAAAAATATGAATTAAATCTTTTCTAGTTGTTTTCAAAATAAAAAATGTAAAATCTAGAAGCGTTTTAAATGCTTATAAAATTTCTAACAATTTAAAGAAGTAAAACAAAGCACTGTTAAAAAATAACCTTAGCCTGGGCAGTAAGTATACAGGAACACTCTATACTCTATTTGCAACTTTTCTATAAATTTAAAATTATTCCAAAATAATAACCATTGCTGGCTGATATAGTAAACCATTGTAACTAAATGGTCAATTCAGTGCAAAATCAACCAAACTAATTCATCAAATACTTCTTTTTTTTTCCTTTTAAAGCTGTTACTTTACAACAGTGCTTAAGTAGTACAAATCACTTTATTATTTCTTAAAATTAACAAATATTGAATGATTAAAAACATGCTATTAATTCCCTTTTAAGGCTAGTATTTCTCGAAAGTTAGTGAGATTAAAAGACACTGATATAAAGACTAAAAGGATTAATGACTATTCCAATTTATTAAGATGTTTTTTAAACATTCATAAAAGAATGTACTTACTATTATTTGAAACCAGAACCAAAATAACATAGACAGACATTCTTTTCAAATTTGTGTTTGAATCATTAGATAAGAACCAAATTAAATCTTCAAACAACTCTGAAGTGCACAAAGTTTGCTGACAGTAAACTGAAATATAAAATGTAATTTTAGTTTCAATTAGCATAAAAGTTTTAAAATGTGCTGAACAAAATAAACAATTGCCAAACTGGGGATAGTTCCCAACCACATCTCATTTAATTGACATTTATTAGTCATACAACGAAATTTCTGACAAATTGATATATGCTTACTGAATTAGCAGACAAAAGCAGCAGTATCTTTGGCTGGGCACGGTGGCTTATGCCTATAATCCTAGCACTCTGGGAGGCCAAGGCGGGAGGATGACTTGAGCTCAGGAGTTCGAGACCAGCCTGAGCAAAAGTAAGACCCCATCTCTACTAACAATAGAAAAAATTAGCAGGGCGTGGTGGCACGTGCCTATAGTTCCAGCCACTCAGGAGGCTGAAGCAGGAGGATCCCTTGACCCCAAGAGTTTGAAGTTGCTATGAGCTAGGCTAACGCCATGGCATTCTAGCCTGGGCAACAGAGTGAGACTCTGTCTCAAAAACAAACAAAAAAACAAAACTCAAATAAAGAAAAGTTTATTTAAAAAAAAAAGCAGTATCTTAATCAAAAGTACTTGGATCTAGGTTCCAAAACACATATCAAAATCCCCTAGAATTCCAAAAATCTAAGTAAATAAAAAATTAAATAAAATCTGACAGAAAATTATAAGATGAGTAACCAAACATAGTAAGAAAAACAATTTAAGAAAAAGTCAGAAACCTGCTTTAGAAAACAGAAAGACAAACAATATTTATGCTATTTTTAAGACTTTTCTAGAAATAAAAATCTTTTCAAAAATCAAAAATGGGCCGGGCGCGGTGGCTCACGCCTGTAATCCTAGCACTTTGGGAGGCCGAGGCGGGCGGATAGCTCGAGGTCAGGAGTTCAAAACCAGCCTGAGCAAGAGCGAGACCCTGTCTCTACTATAAATAGAAAGAAATTAATTGGCTAACTAATATATATAGAAAAAATTAGCCGGGCATAGTGGCGCATGCCTGTAGTCCCAGCTACTCGGGAGGCTGAGGCAGGAGGATGGCTTGAGTCCAGGAGTTTGAGGTTGCTGTGAGCTAGGCTGACGCCATGGCACTCACTCTAGCCTGGGCAACAAAGCAAGACTCTGTCTCCCAAAAAAAAAAAAAAAAAAATCAAAAATGGTACCACCTGACAGTAAAGTTTTATGATAATCATGTAATAAGCAGATTTTATAAAAATAATTTGAACATAAAGTTGGTTTGACAAATCAATGGTTTAGATTCAACCTCATTTTAGGTATCCTGCAGAAAAGTGTTCTTGCCAACATGAATTTCTCTCCCTAAAGCATATATACCCATATATAAGATGGTTGTGGGTTATCTTCATCTTTTCATTAAAGTACCTGGATAAAACTGTTTAAACATGTAAAAAAGAAATTTAATTCTAAAATTATCTTTGAATAATTTGTTAAAGTATAACACAATGCTTAAAGGATAATGAAATAAAGTATATTTTACCATCTTTTTCTGCAACAGCTCCTAACGTATATAATGCTGCTTCTTTTACCACGCTATGTTCACTTGATTTTGCAAGATTTTTTACAAACATCAAACCGCCAATTTCCCGAAAATAAATACCTGCATTACCTGTAGGGTATGCAGATAAAACATAAATAATACTTGGTTATTCTTTTAGGAATAAATCACAGAAGAAAGCAACATATCATGTAGAATAACTAGAAGACAAAGAACTATACATATTTGCTATATCACTGTACTAAAGAACTATAATAGAATCACAGATAAAAATTCACTATTATATCTTACTGTTTTGTTGACAAATTGAATGAATAGTGACCAAAGCTTCCTTTTGTGAAAAAGGGTTGTCCATTTGATACTTTAGACACTCCAATAATAAGTTCAGGTCTGTCTTCATTTCTAAAGAACAAAAATTTCATTATTCAAAACTGAAAGTTTTCTTTCAAAAATTAATAAAATTTCACTTTTAAAATAATAAGCATGTATTACTTTTATAATCTAACAAACAATAAAGATGTATAAAAGGATTTATTTGTTTGTTTTAGAGATGGAGATCTCACTATGTTGCCCAGGCTGGACTCTAACTGAAACCACCCTTTACAAATCAACAAATGAGTCTAAGGCAAGAACTGTTGTAAGGGCCTAAAACTCTGCAAAGGCACAGGCCTACCTAAAAGTAATGATAATAATCAGCCACTGTCCCCCTGTTGTTTGCTTCTCTGTAATTGCTGTTCTAGAGTGATATAGCTGGTGGTCATAAAGATTCTTAACTTTCTCCACAGATAACATCACCTTTTTAAAACCTAACGGTAGTTTCTGAAATACTGTCCAGGTCCCACATTCCAGTGATTGGCTGACCCACTCAGACCAGAGGCCCATACAAGAAACTGACTCAACTGGAATTGTGATGGCCTACCCAGGAACTGACTCAACACAAGATAATGTCTACACTCCTATAATTTGGCTCCAAACCTAACAAATTAGCAAACTCAATTGCCTAATGCTTTGCCTGCCAAACTATCTTTAAAAACCCCATCTCCCAAATTCTCAGGGAGGCAGATTTGAGAAATTCCTCCCCTTTCCCTGCTTAGTGCTCTGCAGAATTAAACCCTTTCTCCATCGCAACCCTGACTGCCTCAGTGTATTGGCTCTTCTCTATGCAGCGGGCAATACAACCCTATTGGAAGGCAACAGAACTCTTGAGCTCAAGGGATCCTCCTGCCTCAGCCTCTCAAGTAACCAAGACTACAGGCATGTGCCACTACGCCTAACTACAAGATATTCTTGAAATAAAAGAACTTAAAATGAACTTCTTAGGTTTTTTGGTTTTCTCCTTGCATGAAGTATATGAACAGAAAATCTAAATATTATTCTCTTTAAGTAAAGCCATACTAGTTTAAATATCTGCCATTAGAAATGAAATGAATGAAAATGAAAATACAATATAACAGAATTTGTGGGATGCTACTAAAGCATTATTTAGGAGGCAATTTATAGAAGAAAGGTTGCAAAACAATGACCTCATCTTCCACCTTAGGAAACTAGAAAAAGAGGGGACACCTCAGTTGGTACTGAGCCTGTGTGCCTAGGCTTAAGGGGAAAAAAAAAGAAACTAGAAAAAAGTCAGGCTGGGCGCTGTGGCTCACGCCTGTAATCCTAGCTCTTGGGAGGCCGAGGCGGGCAGATTGCTCAAGGTCAGGAGTTCAAAACCAGCCTGAGCAAGAGCGAGACCCCGTCTCTACTATAAATAGAAAGAAATTAATTGGCCAACTGATATATAATATAAATTAGGCGGCATGGTGGCCATGCCTGTAGTCCAAGCTACTCGGGAGGCTGAAGCAGGAGGGATCGCTTGAGCCAGGAGTTGAGGTTGCTGTGAGCTAGGCTGACGCCACGGCACTCACTCTAGCCTGGACAACAAAGTGAGACTCTGTCTCAAAAAAAAAAAAAAAGAAAGAAAAAAGTCAGATTAATTCAATGTAAGTAGAAAAAGAATATTATAATATATATACTTATATTATATATAATATATTTTTTTTTTTTTTTTGAGACAGAGTCTCACTTTGTTGCCCAGGCTAGAGGAGTGCCGTGGCGTCAGCCTAGCTCACAGCAACCTCAAATCCTGGGCTCAAGCAATCCTCCTGCCTCAGCCTCCCGAGTAGCTGGACTACAGGATGCGCCACCATGCCCGGCTAATTTTCTATATATTATTAGTTGGCCAATTAATTTCTTTTTTATAGTAGAGATGGGGGTCTCACTCTTGCTCAGGCTGGTTTCGAACTCCTGACCTCGAGCAATCTGCCCGCCTCGGCCTCCCAGAGTGCTAGGATTACAGGCGTGAGCCACCGCGCCCGGCCGAGAAATTTTTTTTTTAATTTCAGGAAATTATGAGAGTACAAACATTTTGCTTACATTTTATATCTTTGCCTCTCCCTAGCAAGGGTTAGAGGCATGCCCTTCCCCTCTACAATGCTCATGGTGTCCTTTAGTTGTGAGTTTATCCCACCAACCTCCTAATCCCTGGAGAATATTACTACCATGTGAGCACCATAGTGTTAATCATTCAGTACCAATTTGATGGTGAGTACATGTGGAGCCTATTAGAAGAAAGGAAATTTAAAGATCAAAGCTGAAATCAATGTAACAGAAAACAGAAAAAAAAGAGGAGGTTCTTTGAGAAGATCAAGAAAACTGATAAACCTCTAGCCAGACTGATTAGGAAAAAAGAAGGCACAAATTACCAATATCAGGAACGAGAAAGATCACCACAGATTCTACAGATATTCTAAAGGTATTAAGAGAGTATTACGGGCCGGGCGCTGTGGCTCACGCCTGTAATCCTAGCTCTTGGGAGGCCGAGGCGGGCGGATTGCTCAAGGTCAGGAGTTCAAAACCAGCCTGAGCAAGAGCGAGACCCCGTCTCTACTATAAATAGAAAGAAATTAATTGGCCAACTGATATATATATAAAAAATTAGCCGGGCATGGTGGCGCATGCCTGTAGTCCCAGCTACTCGGGAGGCTGAGGCAGGAGGATCGCTTGAGCCCAGGAGTTTGAGGTTGCTGTGAGCTAGGCTGACGCCACGGCACTCACTCTAGCCTGGACAACAAAGTGAGACTCTGTCTCAAAAAAAAAAAAAAAAGAGAGTATTACATACAACTTCATATCTACAGATTCAACAACTTAAGATGAAATGGACAGATCGCTTTAAAGACACAAGTCACCAATACTCACCCAAGAAGACATAGATAATCTGAACAATCTTTTATCTATGAAAAAAATCATACTTGAAATCATACTTAAAAACCTTTCCATATTTCAACATATGAATTCTGGGGAAAAAGAAAAAAAAACCTTTCCATAGAGAAAACTCTGGGCTCAGAGAGTTTCATCTGTAAATTCTACCTAACACTTAAGGAAGAAATAATATCCACTCTACACATATTTTTGCAAAAGTTTAAAGAATACTTTCCAACTTATTCTCTGAGGTTGGTATTACCTTAAACCAAAGCAATTACAAAGAAAACTATAGACCAATATTCCTCATGAACGTAGATGCAAAACATCTAAACAATTTTAGCAAATTGAATCCAACAATATTAACATAACGATACATCATGACCAAGTGGGTTTATCCCAGGAATGCAAGATTGATTTAAGAGGGGGGAAAAAAATCAATGTAATGTAACAAATGAAAATTAAAAAGGAAAAGCTTTTGGTTATCTCAATAGATGTAGAAAGAGTACTTGATAAAATCCAACATCCATTTCTGATTAAAGAAAAACATTCTGCAAACTTGGAATAGAATGGAATTTTCTCAACCTGACAAAGTGTATCCATCTAGAAATGAAAACCCTACAGTTGGCTGGGTGTGGGGGTTCATGCCTATAATCCTAGCACCCTGGGAGGCCAAGGCAGGAGGATCCCTTGAGTTCAGGAGTTCAAGACCAGCCTGAGCAAAATCAAGATCCCATCTCTACTAAAAATAGAAAAAGTCAGCAGACTGATGGGAGTTGATGGATAAATCCCCTTCACCCTTTGGCTGGGATGACTCTGAGAAACATGACTCTATAGTGGCTTCTGTAATTCCTCATAGGATTAAGCTCCAGTTGCCCATAACAACAACTTCCTTGATAATGTACTCTTCTATCTTCCCATTTCCTATCTCACTTCCCAGCCAGTATTTCCTGGGATCACTTTTTCAAAAAAAAGTACTTGCACTCAAATCCTTATCTTGGAGTCTACTTTTGGGAGGAACCTCAAAATCAAAACATAAAATGGAAGAGTGAGATGTGGTACTAAGGTTGGAGATATGATAAATGGAATGTCATAAATAGTTTGAGAGGGGTATCCACCAACAATTATCCCTACATCTCCAGTTTCAACTTCTTCCTCTCCAGAATCTCCATTCCTTCTCCATATATTCTCCTGTCTCTATAACTCTTTGAAGACTTCCTTGACATTAAAATCTCCCTCTAGCTACTGCCATAAATCTTTAGCCAAGCTTTTAAAAAGAGTAAGCTTTCTTCAGATTTTCATTTCCCACTCAGACCTAAATATACTACAGTCTGGCTAAGATCTAATAAATTTACTATTAATAAAACAAATGACACCCCAAATGCAAAATGCAGTGAATAACTCAGTCCTCATCTGTGCCATCTGACACTGATGCTCTTATGCAATCACTTTCTCATAAAGCATTCTCTTATGGTCTGATTTCCAAGATACCACATTCCTGACTCTTTTCACCTTTCTAAAATGTTTTTCTCAGTCCTTTTTTAATGGCCCTCTTCCTCAGCTGAACCCTTATGTGAAGGTATTCATTAGGGAACTCTATTCCCCATCCTTTTCTGGTTTATTATTTCCTCTCTGGTTAACTTCCATGCCTACAGATTCAGTTTCCATCCTTCTAAGGACAATTCTGAAATCTGTACCTCCAGGCATACTTTGATGGTGATTCTCTCAGGTTCCTACTATTCTTGCATATGCTACCATTAAATCAACTATCACATGGTATTGTAATTATCAGTATGTCTTTTCTCTTTAGAATGTCAGTTTCCTAAAGCCAGGAATTACGTAACAGGCACAGAGGAGGTGCTCAATATTTATGTAAATTACTGATGGACTTTTTCATTTCCTGGATCCTGTCAGATAATATGCAGTATAGCCTACAAATTTAAATCTTATTCCATATATATGATCCATGAATTTCTCACCTTGTAGTTTCTCTGTGTCCTCACTTTCCATGCTTGTCTGTATTATATTTCCTTATATTTCATCTATAAGATAAAGGCATTTTCTCAATTTAAATCAATGTTTGAGAATGTTAGAGATACAAATACAAAGGGGTAGGAAAAGAACTGTTTTCCTGAAGCCAGAAGACCAGGGATTGAATCTGCAACTTATTAAATGTGTGATATTGGACAGTTGCTTAAATTCTGAGGCTCAGTTTCCTCAACTGTAATATAGGAATGATATTCCTATTTCATAGAGTTGTTACAAGAATTACATTTGAAAACATATATAAACATCTCTGGCACTTGTAAGCACTATAAGTATTCAACAAATTTTATTTAAATAAATGAATGATTGGATGACTGAATCAAACTGCTTCTCCTCTGATCACTCAATCCTTATTTTTCTTTCCTGTAAATCATCCCATAGTTTCAGATTGAGCACCCAACCATGAATGAGAGGCTTAAAACACACAAACATACACGCATGCATGCATGTATGCACACACTCTTTAGATATGCATTTCTCTTCACACGCTAAGTGAAAGGACGACCTTACTAATGAACTATCTAACAGAGAAAATATCTAACTGGCTGTCTCCAAGATTGACCACAGAGGACTTTAACCCACTGTTTTTGAGATTAATGGCCTGTCTTTTAAGATTAACTAACCTGAGTAGATGTTTTCACAGAATCTGTAAATAGCAAACAGAAAGGAGGGTGTAAATCCTCCTCTACATTCCCCAGACCAGTCCAGCCAGATAAGCAAGTCTCTACAGGCAGAAAAAAAAAAAGGAGAAATGGACACCCTGACATCTTACAGCTGTCTCCTGCTAATTAGCCTACAGCAATAATTTTTCTTGACCCCTTTACAACCCACCAATAAAAAGTCCAAGCTGCTTGGCCTCAGCACAGAAACTTCCCTTTTTTCGTGTGCCATGCCCTCTCCCTTCTCTTTTTTACTCTCTCTCTCTCTCCCATCTTTCTCTCTGAGAAAGTAAAGTAAACCTTCTACTTCTTCATATCCTAATCTTTGTGTTGAGAATTCTTTCTCTACCCATGTATGAATTCCCACCTTAACACTAAGCTTAATTAAAATTAACAACCTGTGGTTATTTTCAGCATGTTATTCTACCATTAAGCTTAAATCTTTGTTTATATATTATGTTAGAAGAATTTTAAAAATAACTGGCAACCCTGATATAGCCACTCACATGCCCTACTTTAAAATGTTAAACTGATTTAGAAAAAGTGAGTCCAATTAACTTCTTAGAGCAACAAATCAGGATTACAGAACTCTAAAATTCTTATTTACTCCAACATCACATTGTTAAGGAAAGATATCCAATTTTCCTTTTTATTTTCATTCTCAATCTCCACATGAAAACAAAATTCCTAAGCAAAAAAAAAAATGTTTAAAGAAATAACAAATGTGACAGTCTTTTATAAAGTAATATATAAATATGTTATTTTTTGCCATTTTTAACCTAAATATTCCATTAAAAATAGTTAGGTACATTATGGTACATCCACAGGATAAGATATTATTATAAGAATATTGGCATTGACTACAAATGTTCAATAGCAAGAAAAAAATGCTTATGTTACAAAGTTAACCAAAAAGAACAAGACTAAAATTTTACCCATAGTATGATCCCAATTAGTTAGAGGCAAACATAAAATAAGACTGGATGGAAAGACAATAACCTATTAACCCTTGTCTTTAGCTGGTTGTTCTAGGTGTTTTATTCCACTATTTTCTATTTTTTACAATGTTTATAATAGCTTCTAACATTCAGTAAATACCTATTATAGGCCAAGCTCCGTTCTTTACACCCTATATATTTTTAAGTCATCACCATAACCCTTGTGAGGGAGCTATAAAGATGAAGATAAGTGAAAGGGTAAGTGCCAGAGTTGGAATGGGAACCAAGAAAATCTGAGGCCAGGGCCTACACCTTTATCCTCTTATTATACTGTCTCCCACATATAAATACATATTACCTTTGAGAGAATGGGTTAAGATCTGGAAAAAGAAGACTAGATTAAAAAAATAAACGGTTAAAAATGGACAACTGTATCACATATGGGTGATTTTGCTTTATGGGGGTGCTTAAGGACTATTTCCTTAATTAGCCAACCTATTCTGCTTTTAATTTTTAAAAGAAAGAGAATGTATACCTTTAAAAACTAAATGTCCTGAAATTGAAACTGACATGCACACTACCTTCTTTTCCTCCTTTGTCTTTTTTATATTCTTTTCTAAAAAATTATTAATTTGCGCAATAAGACAGTTTGCCAAGTACCTGTAGCATTAATACAAGTCATCTATTTACTAGTTAAGTACTTTAAAAATACACAGCAAAGGACAAGTTATAACTTTCAAGGGACTGATAATTACAAAATTACATTTTAAATTATAACAAGTATAGTCTATTCCCAAGAACAAAAGCAGATTATGAAAAATTTTTAGTAATTTAGTGAAAATTGTAATGAACAATGATATTTGAAAATTCTTTACTGTATTCTCACAGGTAAAAAGAAAAGGATTTTTTTCCAGATAACATAAAGAGCCTATCTCACTTACAGGTTTCACCACGTCCACTCCCCAAAACAGTACTGTTAACTCCAATTCAAATTTCAGTAAGAAAACTAGCTAAACATTACTCTTTTACCTGACCTAGAAAACATTAATATCAAGAACTTGTTGAAATTTAAATATTACCCCGAAGTTTCAGAACGATAAACCGCTTCTGTGTAAGGCTTGCAGGACTGAAAATCCCACCACTAATTCTTGTCATCCCTAAATTACTGACAGTATATATCCAGCTTGTCATTATAAAGTCCTTTAAACTAGGGAAGGCAAGAGAGAAAAAGCAAATTTTGTTATAATAGTTTAAAAGGACTGAGAAATGACAGTCATTCGGGTCCCAGAAAACACAATGAGGGTACCAGGAGTCAGTTCGCTCTACAGTATTAACACCCCCAGAGTCAGTAGTAGATTGGAGCATAAATCCCATCGCCCTATCTATCCTACAAGGTAACAGACACATAATTTTTCCCAGAAGGGAAGGCCAACTCCGCCCTACTTCCTCAATTTCTGCCCAGTAACAGCATGGTGTGGCTCACCTAAAGAGCAAGACGACCTTTTGAGAAGCTCAAGTAGTCCCTCCAGACTCTCCTCCGCCAGGGTTCTCAAAACCTGCCAGGGGCCAGGGTGCGGGTTAAGAGCGAGGGTCTGTCCGGAGGCCCAGGATTCAGCGGCCCGAGCCATGAGCCCACTCAACAGTCAGTCCCCGCACGGGTGACGTCGCAACACCCCCGTTCTGAGAAATTATCTCACCTGTGGTTTCCACCCCTTCCACACATTAAAATGACCTGGGGAAACACCCCGGGATTCGCAAGGGCAATAGGGGTCGAAAACCGCCAGGCTCAGGACGGCTGACTAAATGGCATGTGACAATTCTCCCTCCCCACCAAGGGCTGTGAGGACTGCAGACGGGGTCTGGTATCTGCTCAGGAAGCCCCTGTTCCCAGAGCCAGCGCAACCCATCCCCTCACGTGGGCAAGTTAAGGGCCAGAGGAGCGGTAAGGCATCCTAGCCGCTGCGAGGGCAGACCTGGGCAGGCCGCCCGCAACCAGCCGTCCACAGGAGTCCCCGGGTGAAGCTAAGGCAGGGCCCCAACGCGCGGGAGCAGAGGCCGCGGCCTTTACCCTCAAGACAGAGCGCGCCAAGCCAGGCGCCTACCCTTTCTTCCCTGGCGCTGACCAAGCACTACGACGCCTGACAGGGTTTCCCGCGCAGCCTATCTGGCTCACTTCCGTGGGGCGAGTGTGGGACTTCCGGTCGGAACGCCCGCCCCCACGTGGAGTCGCAGGTGGGGCCCCTAGTCCCAGATGTTTCCAAGGTCTGCGGGTAGCAAGTGCCTGAATGCAGGGTCTTGAGGTGGAGGCAAGTCACAATTCGAAAGGGAAATCTCATCTCACCGCCCCGGGGTTTTGAGGCTTCCTTTCCTCTGAGGGCGTTAGCAAACTCTCCAGAGTTTGGAGAGTTTGCTCCAGGGGATGACAAGGCTCCATCCAGCTCTGGGACGGTGGCCTCGAGGCACACATGGGCCGCACAGCGTGGCAGGGAGACCCCAGCCCACCCCTTACTCCTGTCTCCCAACCTTCCCAACGCATTGCATCCTGTCCCCTGGGCGAGGCCTTCTTGCCTTGTGTTGGGCCTCCCATTGATGGATACCCCAGCCCTACAGACACAGCCAGGCTTCCACACCAGGTGGCCTCAGTTCAGTCCAGGTGTACTTCTGCCTGCCTAAACCAAAAGACCAGAGCTCCTGGCTGTGTCAAGTGGGGCCAAGGCCTAGCTGTGTCTTCATGGTCCTATGCCTTGCCTCCTCCATAATAAAAATTCACCCAGCAGGAATGATGGGAAATTAAGAGCAGTGCCTGCTGTGAACTGGCAAAGGTCAGTTCATGCACTGAAGAACAGCCAGGGAAGGGCTTGACTCATCAGGGTCCAAGAAAAATCCCTGTGAAGCACCCTCTTGGCAAATCTAACAGGCTCTCACTTAGGGGACACTGGCCTCAGAGACTAAGGAGTAGCCAGTTTAGTGACCTTAAAGGTACTGAGAGTCGTGCAACATGTTCCTCGGCCATAAATAAATCCACTCGAAACTGGGCACTGTCCCCACTTCTGGATTTTCACTCAGTTTGTGTCTACTTCCATCTTAGTTTTTTGGTCCTCTGATATGGTGGTGAATGCTATTAGTCCAATGTGATTAGTCTTTTTTTTTCTTCCTTGACACAAGGAAACAACCAATGTGATTATTCTTTAAAATGAAATTGTAGAGTATGTAAACTGGATAGAATGACCCCATAAAATTTGAAAAAGTAGATGTAGGCAGCAAAACCTAAGTTAAGACCACATACAAGGGGATGGTCTTGCTTTCTGGTAAAACTTCACATCCAAAAATATTTGTCTTTTTACATTCTATTCATTTTAACAAGTAATGATGGTCCTAAATATGTCCACAGCTAAAATCTGCACATGACTTAAATTCATTAAGATGGTAAGAAAAAAAAATTGTAAGCTGTTTCTAATGAAACGTAAGAGGTATCTGTGATTAAGTAACTTTGAAATAGCAAGCCAGTATTAATGAACTCAGTGAGAAATGGGCTGCTTTTATTCTCTGGGAAAATGACTGCTTCCTTTGCTCTCCCCACTAAAGAACAAGACTACATTATTACAAATGAGAAAAATGTTTATTAAGGAAACAATTTAACAGCTCTCCTTTAGCAGAATTTTACAGACTAAAGCACAACTTGAAGGCAAGTACATTTTCAATCAATAAGCTACACAGGGTCCTTACCCTACAATTGGAAAGTTGCAGAAGTTTGTGACATGCCACTATAAATGTAAGTGTTATTAAAAATTACAAATTGTTTGGTGATTATTTTGATAACCTCTTGAGCAGCAGCTCCTGCAAGGAAAAAAAAGAGAAAAGCAAAACTGTGAAGAGGAAATTTCAAGAGCTATGTAAAAATACTTAATTCAATAAAAGAAATTTTTTCTTTCCCAAAGCAAATGTGTTTCAAAGTGATCCACAACAGACACCGTTACCTTACTGCTGCAGTCCCCAACCTCTCAGGCAGAGGACCACAGCAGGAGGTGAGCAGCCGGCAAGCCACCCAGCCGGTGAAGCTTCATCTGTATTTACAGCACTTGCATCACCACATAAGTTCCACCTCCTGTCAGATAGCGGTGGCATTAGATTCTCATAGGAGGTGGAACCTTTACTCTAAACTGCACATGCGAGGGATCTAGAGTGCACGCTCCTTCTGAGAATCTAGCGCCTGATGATCTAAGGTGGAGCTGAGATGGTGATGCTAGCGCTGGGGAGTGGCTGCAAATACAGATTATCATTAGCAGAGAGGTCTGACTGCACAGTAAATGTCATGTGCTTGAATCATCTGGAAACCATCCCCCTCCAGGTCTTGGAAAAATTGTCCTCAATGAAACCAGTCCCTGGTTCCAAAAAGGTTGGGGACCACTGCCTTACTGAGTCAATCAAAAATAAAAGACTATAATTCTCTATAACTACGTTATTAAAGGAAATCTATATAATAGTATGGTTGATCAAACTTTTTAAAGGATACACACTGGCATAAAAGATTCACCTTTTTGCTGCATTTGAATTTTATCATGTGTGTGTGCTTTACTTTTATAATAAAAGAGAAATATAGGCCGGGCTCAGTGGCTCATGCCTGTCATCCTAGCACTCTGAGAGGCTGAGGCGGGCAGATTGCTCTAGGTCAGGAGTTTGAAACCAACCCTGGCAAGAGCGAGACCCCGTCTCTACTATAAATACAAAGAAATTAATTGGCCAACTAATATATCTAGAAAAAATTAGCCGGGCATGGTGGCACATGCCTGTAGTCCCAGCTACTTGGGAAGCTGAGGCAGTAGGATCGCTTGAGCCCAGGAGTTTGAGGTTGCTGTGAGCTAGGCTGATGCCACGGCACTTACTCTAGCCTGGGCAACAAAGCAAGACTCTGTCTCAAAAAATATATATATAAATGTATTTGTAACATAGAAGGATCTATATTAAATAGTGCTAGACTGCTAAACCTACTCAAAACAAACAAAAGAAAAAGCAAAAAATTACCAAGAAAAAAAGTGCTGCATCTTTTATAACCTGAAGCTTCCTCTTTCCCAAATACTTGTTAACAAAATTTGAGACTCAATTGTGTACCAGATATGGTCCTAGGTACTAAGGATATAGTAGAGGAAAAAAGAAATCTGTTCACCTTCATGCTATTTTTTAGCAGAGAGAGATATAAATAAATAAAATGTATAATATGTCAACTGACCAAAGGTGCTAAGGAGAAAAAGGGGGATATGAGTGCAAAAGATGAGGGGCTCAGTTTTAAATAGGGGAGTCAAGGATGGCCTCATTGGGAGCCGCAGAGGTGCCTTGAAGTGAGGAGGTATTATGGCCTTGTGCAAAATGAAGTAAAAAAACCTTCAATTTATACTTTTTTTTCTCATACAGGCAAGGCATGCAGTCATCCAACCTTTCTGGCTGTGTCTCTTCTCAGAATCTGGACTGAATATGAATAAATAATATTAAATAACTTGCCCTTTTCTGTGAATTGGCAGTTTATTTTGCTATTTTGGCAAAAGAGACTTGGTTTTAGTTTAAATTTTCCAGAACCAGGCTTTAATTTGGATTTGCTTAGAAGACAGTTTTCTTAGGTCTGTATCACTCATTTACATCTTGAACACTCTGAATATTAATCAGACCTGGATCTGCCTTCAAAACATTAATGATTTAGAAGGAAAACGTCACAAGCAAATAGCTCAGTGTGTAAGAGATCAAAGGCAAGAGAGTAATATTTTTGGAGCAGTATTATGCACTGAATGTTAGTGTCCTCCGAAAATTCATACGTTAAAATCCTAACCCTGGTCAATGTGATAGTATTAGGAGGTGCAGCTTTTGGTAGATACTTAGATCATGAGGGTAGAGCCCTCATGAATGGGATTAGTGCCCTTATAAAAGAGACCCCAGAGAGTTCTCCTGTCATTTATTCCACCACATGGGGACACAGTAAGAAGAGAGCTGTCTTTGAACCAGGAAGTAAGCTCTCATGAGACCCTGACCACACTAGCACTCAGATCTTAGACTTCTAGCCTCCAGAACTGTGAAAAATAAATTTCTGTTGTTTATAAGGACGTGGTATTCTGTTATAGCACCCGTGACTGAGACAAGGAGGAAGCAGAGTAAGAGAGGGAGGAAAAGGAAGTTTTTATGAAAGATGGCATTTTTGAATTAGGCCTTGAAGAACAGGTAGGTTTTCGACATGTAGGAAATAGACGTTTCTAAGCCAAATGGATCCAGAGGAGCAAAGATCTAGAAGCAGGAAATCAAAGAGCATTTCTGGGGGAAAACCAAGTAACTTGATAAAACCAAGGCTAGAAAAGCTGAGTGGAATCAGAACACAAGGTGTTCAATGTCAAGCTAAAGTCGCTGGACTTGTTTTCTGAGGCGCATTATAGGGCATATATATGTACTGGTGGAGCAGAGGGTTCGTTGAGGGACATAGAGTTATGCTTTAGAAGGATTAATGACTCTTTAGGAGTTTAAGATGGATGGCAGTGGAAGAGATGGAAGGCAGGGAGACCAATATGGGGGCTACTGAATAATCTTAAACTCAATATAACATCCTGCTTCACTGACCTAATTAAAAGAGCTAAAATAGGCCGGGCGTGGTGGCTCACGCCTGTAATCCTAGCACTCTGGGAGGCC